CAGGAGAAAAACAGGGAAAGAGAACAGGATGGCAGAAACAAGGCTCACTAGCAAAGAATTAGAGAGAACAGAAACACAACGTGAGGGTAGTTAGCTGAGAAAATGGTGAGGAACAAAGTGAAAGAGAGAAACTTTTCCAGGGAGAACCATGAAGAATGTGGGTGTTAGGAGTCATGTTAATCGTAATTAACACGTTGTGTGGTTTACTTAGCAACAGTAGTTGCTCTTATACTATATAGTTGTTTTGTTTGTTGCTGTGCTTATTTTGTTTGGTTTTATTTTTTTACATCTGATAAAACTCGACAAATAGCCATAAAATTAATTTGTGTTGGTGTCTTTAGTGTAGTCGTTTGCAATAAAGCTACCCAGACACTAATTTAGAAGAATTATTTTGAGACAATTGATGTTAAAATCAGGATCAATTTCATGAGCATGCTACTAGTACAGTGACAAAAGACCCCACAACCAAAAGGAATTTAATGATCTGTAGACATGATCTTGAAAAATCTTAGTAATTTTGCCTGTTTATTAGTGATTTTTATTAAGTTTATTTTTATTTATTTGAAAGACAGAGAGAGATCATTCAACTGCTCAGTCACTGCCCAAATGTGTGATAGCCGGGGCTGGGCCAGGCCAAAGCCATGCACCAGGAATCCCATACGGGGTTCCCACCTGGATAACAGGGACCTGTTGCTTCCCAATGTGCTTATTAGCAGGGAACAGTATTAGAAGCAGATCTGGGACTTGAACCTGGGTACTCTGATAGGGGATGAGAGCATTCCAATTACTGGGCCAAATGCCTACCCAAACAATTTGTCTTTGAATTGGTGCTTGGTAGTGAAATCTGATGGGACAATGGCACATAAACCAGGTCTTATGGCCTCGGTTCACATGCAGTGCAGCCTTGCTGCCTCCCTGGGATGCATCATCCCTGCCTCCACCCAGTCCTTCACCTGCAGTTGGAGCAGGATATGGGTGCAAGGTGCGCTGGGGTTAGACGTTTGTGTCCTGCCCGCTGAGTCATAGGTGGTGAGTTGAGCACCTGTGAGGGTCTATCCTCCCCTCAAATATTCTTGTACCCAATAGGACATAACATTAAACAGAAAATTAAAATCTCTATGAGAGAGAGACAGGGATGGAGAGGCTGCGAAAAAAATTAAAAGGGCCTTTGTAATGCTTTCTGAACAAGGGGTTCCATATGTTTGTTTTGAACTGGACCCCACAACTTATGTAGCTGAAAAAAAAAACTAAAGACTTTTTTTCCATGCTCTGTTTGTTATGGAGAGAAATCCAGGAAGAATCTTGCAGCTACTATCTAGTCCAGCACTATTCAAACATTGTTTAAGGAAGAAGATTCACTTTTCCAAGAAACCCTTATCAGTCACCAATACTTCAAAGAGATCAAAAGCAAACCAGCCAAGCTCCCTTTTTTGTACCAATTTAAAGAGAACTCTCCACCAGCTCTCTTTCTTTGCTCTCCTGTTCCCAAAGTTGACCCTGAAGCAGAGTCCTGCATTAATCCTAGGGCTCCGAAGAATAGGATCTGCAAGCCGGCCAGCATCCCCAAACTCTTTATTTGCCACAGTGGAAATCTAGCCCATAAATTAAGTAACTACTCCAGGTCCACAGATTTTTTTTAGTAAGATTTACTTACTTATTTGAAAGGCAGAGTCACAGAGAGAAAAAGGAGGGTAGGGAGAGAGAAAGACCTTTCATCCACTTGTTCACTCCTCAAATTGTTCCAATGGGCAGGGATGGGCCAGGCCAAAGTCAGGAGCCAGAAGCTTCTTCTGGGTCTCCCATGTGCATGCAAGGGCCCAAGAAGTGGAGCAACCCAGACTCTATGCCTGTGTCATAGGCCAGGGCCCAAACTGCTATGCCACAACTCTAGCCCCCACAAAAAAGTTCATGGTAGATTCCTTTTGCATTTAGACTTCAAGATTCCTGGTCCCAGGCTTTGTTTTCCCACAACGTCCTTCTACTGCTTCCATCAGTGTGTTTTCTTCAGCTTTTGGAGGAACAACCCTGTTTTACCTAAGTTGAAGGGCATCGAAGATGATCATTCCATCAACACACTGGTGTGGCTGACAAAGCAGCACTGGGTCAGAGTACCATGCACAGAACAGAGCCCATGGTGCAATTCTCATTCACCTGAAATTGCTCTTCTCTCTTGATTCTTCCATCTTTTCACTCTGTACTTTTCTGTACACTAGACATTGTGCTAAGAACTTTGTGTGGAATAACTCACTTAATTCCCACAGTATCCCTGAACAGTTAGGATCCCTGTTCCTTAGCGTATATATTAGGTCATGGGCTCAAAATAGCCAAAGAAATTTTTCCCAGCAAGGGATAGCAGATCTGGGAGCAGAACACAAGTAAGACTAGCTCAACAGCCTTGTGTAGTTACCCTCTAGGCAAACTGTCAAAGAAGGGAAAATCAGCACTGGCCATTACTTCACTCCACTCCAGCCTGCAGCCAAGAGAGATTTGAGACACATGAAGGACTTGTCTTTCTCCAAAGAAACAGCAATGCTGGGTCATTGAAGCAGGTGGCCTGTGATACAGCATCCTCTGGATTCCAAAAGAGGGGTGGAGAGAACCATCAGTGGGACCTCAGATAGACTCACTCAAGGGATATCTCAGGATTATGTTCCAAAAGGGAGAAACATCATAATTCCTAATTACTGTGCAGGTTTTGAGGCTGTAGTCCCAGCTGGAGTTTAACAGTTGCCAGAGCCTGCTGCTGCCCTGGGCTGTTTTCCAGTAGTCGCTCTTGGAAAGTTGCCAAGTTTTGCCCATGAGGGCAACTCTGTTGCCGGTTCCTGTTTTGATCAATCATAGCACTTTAGGAACATGCTACAGTTGATGTCATGGGCCACTGGGTTCTGGACACTAAATTCCTTCACTGTGCTAAAGAGGGGACGTTTACAGTTGTCATCTTTTTTTTTTTTTATCACGATTGCTTTTTTCTGCTTCAGATAAATGAAATATTTGCTTTGATAGCATATAATTTGAATCTGTAAATATCACCTGTTTCTCTGAAACAATCAGCTAATATTAAAATATATCATTCGCTAGTTTGCAGAGCTTTTATGCTTGACTTCTGTACTTAAGTAAATAGTTCTTTTGATTGAAGGACTTTATTTTTTTGGACAAATCTTTCTGCTAAATCAACACTGAAAAATTCTCAGACACACAAAGAATATAATTTACATGACAAAATTTGAAAAAAATTATACTGCAGCTTAAATATTATGTAAAATAGGGGCTGGCATTGTGACTAGTGGGGTAAGCCACTGCCTTTGGGTGCCGATTTGTGTCCTGGTTGCTTCACTTCTGATCCAGATCTCTGTTAATACACTTGGGAAAGCAGCAAAAGGCAGCTCACGTATTGGGTGCCTGCCACCCATGTGGGAGACTGGGAAGAAGCTCCTGGATCCTGGCTTCAGTTTGAGCCAGCATTGGCCAACCTGGCCATTTGGGGAGTAAATCGGCAGATGGAAGATATGTGCTCTCTGTGTTTCTCCCTCTTTCTGTAACTCTTCCTTTCAAATAAATTATCTTTTTTTAAAGATTAATTTATTTATTTGAAAGTAAAAGTTACACATAGAGAGAAAGAGAGGCAAAGAAAGAGAGAAAGAGAAAGAGAGAGAGAGAGGTCTTCTATCCACTGGTTCTCTACCCGATTGGCCGCAACAGCTAAAGCTGCGCCGATGCGAAACCAGGAGCCAGGAGCTTCTTCTAGGTCTCCCACATGGGTGCAGGGTCCCAAGGACTTGGGCCTCCTCTACTGCTTCCCCAGGCCATAGCAGAGAGCTGGATCGGAAGTGGAGCAGTCAGGTCTCAAACTGGCACCCATATGGGATGCTTCACTGTAGGCTGTGGCTTAAGCCGCTAGGTTTAAGCCAGCCCAATAATCTTCTAAAAATAATAAAATATATTACTTATATGCAATAGAAATGTTCAATTTCAATTTATGTAGAAGAGCTTTTTTTAACTTTTAATAGTTATTTCAGATTTCTGGGGATTCATAACTTCCATCTTCCTGAAGGTTTAAACAGAACAATACAAAATAATTACAGTATACCATAAATTATATGCATTCACAAATATATTCAAAACTATTCATTGAATAACTCTTATCTCCCAAGCTTTGGGTTAAGTACTGGGGATGCAGGGATGAGCTGGCTCTATCCTCTGCTATGTATATATTTGAGGTCAAGGCTTTTTTAAGTGTTGGGTCTTTAAAAGAGGTTCTGAGTGCAGTCAAGACATGAAAGAAAGCAGCTGATTCTACCTGGGCTTAGGAAATATGGGGCTGGGTGAGATACAAAGCTTCAAAAAATGAGAATAAATATATTAGACAAAGAGAAATATTAAATAGAATTTAGTTATGCATGAGGTGTTTTGTTCATTACTAATTTAACTTCCATGGTCTTATGTGGCCTTTGTATTACACCAAGAACTACAGAACAAAGGGAATCAATTCATTTTATCAGTAAGATTCTTTTGGTAAAGAGCAAGTAGAAAGTGAAGAGACAGAACTAGAACGCAAACTCTGATGTTTCTCGTTTGCTTTTTGTTTTGTTTTAGTTTTCAGTCACAGTCCCTTTCCATTATACAAGAATGGCCCTACTGAAGTGAGGGCATGGAGGGATTCCTAGCTGCTGCCTCTCCATAACTTCCAGTGCATGGTCAGTCTGTGTGCCTCAATGGAACCCCAGCGAGAACACAGTAACTCATCAGATTTACAACACAACTCTGGGCTCATCAAAACAAACAGGCCCCTGGAATGTGGAAACTAAGTTTAAATTACTGCACTGTTCTTAATTAGCAGTATGACCTGGAGTAAATCACTTGATTTATACTTTAGTTTCATATTCTTTATGATCAGATCAGCCCATGTCACAGAATTACTGCACAAGAAAATTTCTGCCACATAAGAAGATACATTTTAGTGGAATCTAAAGTTCAATTTTTCAGCTGGATTTCTGTTCCAGGTTCTTCTTCAAACAGTCCTACAATCCACAGCAGCCACCTCCACCAACCTCCAAACCCATCAAAGACAACGGAGAGCTATGGACACGTTCTTAGAGGTCAACTCTTTTTAAAAATTAAACTTTTTTCTTCATATCACATTTTCCATATAGCTTCACTCATCTTGTGCTTTTAATTTCTTTAGGAGAGATTGCCCTCCGACTTTTGACATCCAAACCCTTTACTTAGGTCCTTTATTTCATCTCAGATCACTCCTCAAATGACCACAATGGCCAGGCCAAAGCCATGAGCCTGGAGCTCCATCCAGTTGTGCCACATGGGTTACAGGGGCTAAATAACTTGGGCCATATGCAGCTGCTTTCCCAGGCATATTATCAGGGTGTTGGGTTAGAATTGGAGTTGCCAGGAATCCAACTGGGCCCAGATGGGGTGCCAGCATTGCAAGTGTCTGCTTAACCTCTGACCTACAACATTGTCCCCTTTCTAAATTACCATTCTCTTTTCCTGATCCTTTATTAAAAAAAATTCTTAAAATAATGTGTTCTTGTTGCCCTTTTTTAATACCCACCTACTTCCTTTTAGAGAGAATGTTAGAGTTCCTATAATCAGGGCTGGCGCCGTGGCTCACTTGGCTAATCCTCCACCTGCGGTGCTGGCACCCCAGCTTCTAATCCCAGTTGGTGCACTGGGTTCTGTCCTGGTTGCTCCTCTTCCAGTCCAGCTCTCTGCTGTGGCCCCGGGAAGGCAGTGGAGGATGACCCAAGTGCTTGAGCCCTGCACCTGCATGGGAGACCAGGAGCAAGTACCTGGCTCCTGGCTTTGGATCAGTGCAGAGGCCATTTGGGGGGTGAACCAATGGAAGAAAGACCTTTCTCTCTCACTCTCTAACTCTGCCTGTAAAAAAAAAAAAGAGTTCCTGTACCCAGTGACTAGCTGTATTTCACTTTGCATGCTCTGTTGTATATTAACCATATAACAAAATTGTGATTAAGCTATCAATTTTTTTGTGATTATCCTATGGGCCAGATACTATGTTAGAGATTTTATTAAATTCAAGTTCATTGGTTCACCTACTCCAGTCGTGTTTTCTTTGCTTATTCTACTTCTGCCAGGTAGATATGCACAAAGAACATTTTGTTTAATTTTTTATTTTAATTTGTTTTCTCTTCATTCACTTCTTACTAATATATACCTATTACAATGGCTTCTTCCCTTAAGCAGCTAAGTTCTACATGCATATTGATAATTTTGAGACCCTTGCTCCAGTATCATATTTTTAATGCTTGAGATTCTTAAATACTTAACAGCAACTACATAATAACAGACTAGCATCTAAAAGTTGATACATACAAGAACAGATCATTATCTTTTTTGTTTCTCTACCTTTTTCTATAAAAAGAAGTGTCTTAGCTTTCTTTATATTAATCTGCTTTAAAATTTTTCATTATATCACTTCTTATTCTGAGATATATTTCTTTTGCTTTAATTTTCAACCTCTCATGAATTACTGATTCTCTTGCTAAAATAACAATAGGAGGTAAATCTAGAGTACCTAGTCTGTTCCTGTTTCTCAGCTTGGAAATTTACGTATAATATTGTATTTAATCTCCTTTCTCTTTGATCATATAGATGTCAGACACTGGAGCTTCTACCCTTGTTTTTGTGATTTATAGTAACCTCCTAGAAGGAGGACCTATATATCCTAAGTTAACACTCAAGGTTATTAGAATACTGAGAAATACCACATTTTCTAGAATCCTCCTGGGTAAATTTCAGATAACTTAAAATGTTTCATGCTGGAAGCTACAAATAATGAAATACTGTCACTGGAATAAATATTTTCATAGAAAGTAAGTGTTTTGTTTGATAACACACTTCGCAGAAGCATGAAGGAAGGATTAGAGAGATGGTGAGAAGCTTACAGGCATTGGTTGATGCTTGGTGGAGTTGGCCTCTCCAGCAGGTTGCACATGTGCCATAATCTCTGCCGGTGAGGTACATCCACCATTCTTAGACTGGAGGACCCTTCCCAAAACTATGCTGACCCTCCCAGTCCCAATAGATGCCAAGATGCATGAAAGCGCTCTTCTATCTTTTTCTTCTATCTGTTCTCCTATCCACCTCCCATCTGGGTGACTGCCAGACTAGAATAGCAAGAATCCACTTATTATATACTACAAAATGTATTCCAAATGTTTTCGATGCTCACTATAATATGCAGTGATCAATTTATATGAAACTAATAAAAACTGTAACATCAAGAATATTATTAGGAAAATGGAAATGGTTGCTACTCCGAAACTTATTTGGTGAATTTTGCTTTTCCCTCATTCCCAACAGCATTTCAATTTGTACTTCTGCTCCTTCTCCCACTCCCTCCTTTGAACTCTTTTCCAGGTCCTTGTCATTCTCCTTCTCCTTCTCTTAATCTTTGATAATTAATCTCTGGAGAGATTTGATTCTGGAATGGGTATGCAAGGTCTTTTCTAAAATTTGGCTTTACTCTCCACCAATACATGTTTCCAACATTCCAAGAAACTTTCCCACCATAAGTCTCATATTGCTTTATCTTAGATATTATAACTGGGTGGTGCATATGTCATGTTCAGGCCTGCATCTGTTCTTTACAAAGAAGCCCAACAATAAAATGGCAGGAAAATTAACATAAAAAATACAAACTGTGTTCTTCCCCTTAAAGAAGTGCAAATTCTGACAGCACCAAGCCCGCAATCCCACACAACACCTTAAGCTGAGTAGCCACTACCTCAGGCAGAACATGTATTATTCAGTACTCCAAAGTCACCTCCGCTCACTATTACCTCTGTAACAGTAAGTCTAAAGGTCACTTGGAAATTAGCCGGCACCGCGGCTCACTAGGCTAATCCTCCGCCTAGCGGCGCCGGCACACCGGGTTCTAGTCCCGGTCGGGGCGCCGGATTCTGTCCCGGTTGCCCCTCTTCCAGGCCAGCCCTCTGCTGTGGCCAGGGAGTGCAGTGGAGGATGGCCCAGGTGCTTGGGCCCTGCACCCCATGGGAGACCAGGAAAAGCACCTGGCTCCTGGCTCCTGCCATCGGATCAGCGCGGTGCGCCGGCCGCAGCGCACCGGCCGCGGTGGCCATTGGAGGGTGAACCAACGGCAAAAGGAAGACCTTTCTCTCTGTCTCTCTCTCTCACTGTCCACTCTGCCTGTCAAAAAAAAAAAAAAAAAAAGGTCACTTGGAAATTAACATAACATTAACCATTTTTATTTGCTTGGGATTTAAAAATAATGGTATCCATATTAAAAAGGAAGAAGACTTGCCCCAAATGGTAGAGTTAGAAACATACCAGGGGATTCCAATTTAATCCCATCAAGGTGGCATGTACCAATGCCATCTCACTACTCCAAGTGATCAATTTCAGTTCACAATTGATCATAATGAAAGGACTAAGAGTCAAAGGGAGCACATAAGCAAGTCTAGTACCTGCTAACACTAACCGATAGAATAAATAAAGGGGAGAGTGATCCAACATGGGAAGTGAGATACTCAGCAGACTCATAGAATGGCAGATGTCCTAAATAGCACTCTGGCCTCAGAATCAGCCCTAAAGGCATTCAGATCTGGCTGAAAAGCCCATGAGAGTATTTCAGGCATGGAAAGCCAAGACACTCTGGCAAAAGATCTCTGTGAGTGAGATCTCAGTGGAAAGAACAGGTCTTCAAAGAAGGAGGTACCTTTCTCTGAAGGGAGGAGAGAACCTCCACTTTGACTATGACCTTGTCTAAACAAGATAAGAGTCGGAGAACTCAGAGGGCTTCCATAGCCTTGGAAACTCATGACTGGAGCATAGGGAGATTACTGATGCCATAGACAGGAGTGTCAATTGGTAAAGTCAACAACAGGAGTCACTGTGCACTTACTCCTCATGTAGGATCTCTGTCCTTAATGTGCTGTGCATTGAGATTTAATGCTATAACGAGTACTCAAACAATATATTTCACTTTGTGTTTCTATGGGGGTGCAAACTGTTGAAATCTTTACTTAATGCATACTAAACTGATCCTCTGTTAAAAAAAAAAAAAAAAAAAAAAAAAAAAAAAAAAAAAAAAAACAGAAAAGAAACTATCAACTCCCAACTTGACTCTCACTGGGATTAAACATGACAATAGGTCTGATCTGATTTCATCATCATTAAAAAAAATCATCTATTATTTTTCACTTTATGTTTCTGTGTGGGAGCAAACTGTTGAAATCCTTACTTAATGTATACTAAGCTGATCTTCTGTATATTAAGATAATCGAAAATGAATCTTGATGTGAATGGAAGGGGAGAGGGAGTGGGAAAGCGGAGGGTTGTGGGTGGGAAGGACGGTATGGGGGGGAAGCCATAGTAATCCATTATTCGTACTTTGGAAACGTATATTCATTAAATAAAAGTTAAAAAAAAAAAAAGGAAGAAGTAAAATTACTCCTGTTTGTAGATCACATATTCCTATAAGCAGAAACTCTTCACAAAAAGCCTGTTACAACTAACAAATGAATTCAGTAAAATATCAGTATACAAAATCATCATAGTAAACTAATGCATTTCTTTATACACACAATGACTTTTCCAAAAAAATCAAGAAAACAATATCATTTACAATAATATTCAAAAAGATAAAATACATTGGAATACATTTAACTAAGGAAGTAAAAAATCTGGACCTTGAACTTTATAAAATATTGATAAAATAAATTGAAAAGATTCAAATAAATGGAAAGCAAAACTATGCTTGTATTTGGAAGAATTAATTTTGTTAGAATATTGAAAGTAATACAGAGATTCAATGCAAACTCTATCAAAATTCCAGGGACTTTTTTTTCCCACATAAATAGTAAAGGCAATTTTAAATTCATATGGAACCAAGAAACACCTTGAAAATTAAAGCAATCATGAGAAATAGACATAAACCACAGAAGACTTTGAAAAGCTGAAGCACACATGAAAGAGTAGCTATATTGGTAAAGTCGTACTTAAGAAATTTGCATTCCTTAAAAAATAAATTTAAAAAAAGTTTAGAAGATTAAAAAGCACATATGAGAAATAAAAACATAGATGGAGATATTCCACTTTCCAGTTTCAAATTATATTACAAAGTGTTGGGAAAACTAGATAACCATACATGAAAGTGTGAAGGGGGATCCTTATCAAACTTCATATACATACATTAACTAAATAGATCAAAGCTCTAAATACAAAAATTAAAACTATAATACTCCTAGATGGCAACAAAAACATGGGAAAAAATCTTTGACATTGACGCCATTGGCAATGATTTTTTTTAATATCATAGCAAAACACACACAAAGCAAAAATAAACAAGTACAACTACAACAAATTGAAAAGCTTCTGTATTGCAAGGACAATAATGAAAAAAGACAGCCAATAGATTGGAAAAAAAATCTGCAAATCATGCATCTGCTAAGAATAACATCCAAAATATATAACAACTCATACAACACAATAGCAAAAACAAAACAAACAAAACTAACCTGATTAAAAAATAAGCCAAAGACCCGAAGAGATATGTTGTCAAAGGAGACACTGAAATGGCCAACAGGACTGACCTTGTGGCACAGCAGTTTAGATTGCCACTTAGGACGTACACACCCAATATAGGACAAGTCCTGGATACTGCATTTCTTATCCAGCATCCTATTAATGTGCATGGCTCTAGTAGTTGGGCTACTGCTACCCATGAGGGGGACCTAGATGGAGTTCAGCCTCAGCCAGCTCCCACAATAATAGGCGTTTATGGAGCGAATCTGCAGTTCCAAGATTCCAATTCTCATATTCTCTCTCTCTTCCTCTCTCTCACTCTCTCTCTCTTTCCTTCTGAATTTCAAATAAATAAAAACAATTGTGTTTGTGGAATAACCAACAAGTATATGAAAATGTGCTCAATATCACTAATCATTAGGCAAATGCACATCAAAACCACGGTGACATACCTCCTCACACCCATTAGGATGGCTGTTATCAAAAAGATAAGAGAGAGCAAGCACTGATAAGGGTATGGAAAAAGAGCACTCATGTATACTATTGGAAGGTACCCAAATTGGTAGATCTATTATGCATAACAGGATTTCCATTCTGTTTGTGTCCTCAAAAAATTAAAATAGTGTTGCCATATTATCCAGCACTCCTTCTGCTACTCATATACCCATGGAAATGAAAGCAGCATCTTGTATGTATCCATACTCCCATGATTATGACAGTATTATTCAGAATAGCAGGATATGGAAACAATGAAATTGTGGAAAAGATAGATAAATTATTCAATGATAAAAGAGAAGGAGATACTGACATTTGAAGAGCATGCATGAATCTGGAAGACATTGTGTTAGGTAAAATAAGCCAGATACAGAAAGACAA